GAACATGTGTGTGTCTCCTTTGTATCGATACATGACCACCCGATTCCGCTAGTCGCCTCTAACGACAAGCGATTGTTGGACTGCACCAAAGTGATCTTGGCCGTAAAGTTGCCATGCTTTAGTTTTATTCCACGAGTGAGGGAGCTTTCAAGTATAAATCATTACGCTACCACAGACAAGTAGGGGGAGCTCCGATTGTTCATGGCAAAACGTTCATGGCAACGTCTGTACAACCAAGCTCTCTCATGTGCGATCATAAATCTTGCGTCGCTGGCGAGGAAGTATTATGCTTTCTTGACACCACTGACGTCGCAGTTGACGATATTGTTGCGCCAAAAACAACCGTTCTACCGAAAGAGGTTCCACACTGTCTAACCAGGTATCCTTCACATTCATGCAGTAGCATTTGCTGTAAAGGATGTTGTTATACCATTCAACACAAATGAAGTACCTCGGGCGTATCGTGACCTGGGTCGATCACTTTACTAACAAAATTGTTAATACGACTACAGACTTCGTGGTTAAAAATGGTACAGTGGCAGTGTTTTGATGCTGACATATTATACATTCGACACCAAATGAGATAATATACATGCGCCACTTTTCGTTAAGTGATTATGTCTGTTTCTTTGTCTGCTTGTTTATCAACATAAACAATGCGCCCTATACTTTGTAAAAATGCCACGTGAGACAGCAGAAAATCATAATAAAATCATGACCAAATGTTCTTGACCATACAGGTCTAACTTGAAAAATCAAATACCCTTTTTGTCACTGGTGCGTCAAATTTAGAACTGTTCACTCCATGCATGTCTTAAAACGTTTCTAAACTTTTGAAAAGACCTGTCTGTTTTGGAAGAAAAAAGAGTTGAAATCATAAGTGAGATAATGATTTCATTTCAGAAGAAATTCCAACGCCAACGGCCACATCCACAAAATCGCATGTGATGCAAATTCAGTTGTTCGGTACATAGTGAAATGTCAATACTAGCATATACTTATGGATAATTTTAGCAGCAGCAGAAACTGTAGTTCATTTAAGTACATGGAAATGTTCGAACTACAAGACAAAATATATTTTTACCGGATTTGAACATCAGAACTCAACGGTAGCGAGGGCAGCTTTCGAAATTAAATTTGTGCTGGAAATGGAGTTATTTGCCCTTGTGGACTACATGGCAGCCTTGATCGATCTGGACCTTTCTGAATGGCAAAGTGTCTACAAGGCTGGCTGTACCGGGAAGCGACAAAAGGACGAATCGAGGACTAAATCGAAAAGTGCGGTATGGAAACCTATTTGGAAAGCTCCCAACATTGTCCTGATATTCAAGTGCGGAGACGGCCTCTTTGAGGGCATTCAGCAGTGACAATATTCTAAGCATTTATTACTGCACTGGCACCATTTCCAGGGCTTATTACTTATTGCTATTGCCACATATTTGACCCACTGTGTTGCTATTTGTTCATGTAATGTGAGTGAATGTATAATTATTGATTAAACCTGTGTACTGATATATACTGATTTTGTAATATAGATGAGCCGGTGGGGAAGCCCAGTGGTTAAGGCGTTCGCTCGTCACGCTGAAGAACCAGGTTTGATACCCTACATTGGTACAATGTGTGAAGCTCATTTCTTGAAAGTAGCAGGGCGGTGGGATAGCCTAGTGGTTAAAGCATTCGCTCGTAACGCTGAAGACCCGGGTTCGATTCCCCACATGGGTACAACGTGTGAAACCCATTTCCGGTGTCCCCAGCCGTGATATTGCTGGAATATTGCTAAAACCGCAAAACCCAACTCACTCACTCACTCAATACAGATCTGTGCCTATTAGTTTCTGGGTTAACCTAAGCATTTCATTTTAAAAATGGCCTTGTAAAAGTATATATGGGGTATTAATGTTTTATTGTGAAAATCAAATGTTGAAGGGCAGATGTTTGTTTAAATGCTTACGGTAGAAGTTCTCCTTTAACGATATTTCTGACCGTAACCAAACAACGAAGATCTGAGACATTAATCAAATGTACATAACACTATATATGTTGCCACATGCTCCATGCGTGTGTCACACTATGTAAGATGACAAAGTCGATAAGTTTAACATTCAGTCACATTTTGGCATGGCTGTCATACGTTTTCAACCTTCAATGTACACGGTCCGTATTCAACTACGTCGTATTTGACAACAGTGTTAGGGGCTATGCATAAGATGTATATATGTATTGACTGTTTCAAGTTTCTGATTTACTCATCTTGATCATGGTAAATACTATACAACTGGTATCCAGGTGATGCTATGTACTCATTTTGTCCTCACCTGTGCGAAGTCTAAGTCGAAAGCAATTTGCTTGAGGTTGACAGATAATATGTAGACAAATAAAACAAAAACACACCTGCATATGTATAATTTTCTAGGCGAGGCCGACTACTTTTGGGACGCCCCACGTATACATGTTTCCTGTTCTGTAAATATTATATTTGGTCAGTATAATACATATCAATGACCAAAGCTACGTTTTAGCAGATCAGCACTAACAATGAGAAGTCAAATAAACGTGATAGCGGGCGGTATAAATAAAACAATGAATATTTGAAGCGTTCGAGTACAACAAAGATGTGCGTAATTCGGACAAGTCTCAACAGTCTGGTAAACATATCAATAGCCTCTCGAGGATTTATATCGACAACTGACATTTATCCATACGGACTGCAAACTTTGTCAACCTTGTCTCAAAATTAGCTTTTATTCGGTCTGACTGACACCCCGAAGGAGTTGGGTTTATCAACACAAGTGCAATGAACCTCACCAGGAACTCCCTATGGGCGCATTTCACCGTCACAATCGGCAATAATACATTTCACTCTTGGCACAGAAAATCTAAACCCTTTTAACATCTAATTTATCTAGGTTTGTATTCAATAAGTAGCTTGTGGTTGATGTGTGGTATTGTTATACACACTCCAATTATCTCAAAAGCAATAGACATAATTGGGAATTGCAGTGTTTGATAATCCTATCAGTATATCCCTAAATAATGAGACCAGTTACTCTAACAAATGATGGTGTGCGTAGTTACATCTGAGTGTACCACATTATGTATATATACATGTATTGTACTTCAAAAACAGATTTGTGCTTCAGTAAACGTCATTTCATCTGTTAATATTGGCTGAAGTGGATAATGATACATTACATGCTAATGGCATTCATTTTTATCATACCTGTTTAATACGATAAGCTGGTGTATAAAGTCTCACAATGGCATTCACTTTTCTAAAGCATTTTCTGTGTAACACAGTGCTATGTCCTTGAGCAGGACATTACTTCAAAATCAGAGCTGCACTCTGAAACCTTTACACGTAACAATCGTTTGATATCTCGAAAATATGCGCTATAAAAGAATCACAAATTGGATTCATACCTAACGCAAAGAGACATGTCTATAACTCTGGAAATATTCAGATTACCCTAAGCTGAACCATATGAAAAATATTAGCCAGGCATATTTACTGCCCCTGTGGGAAAGTGGTATGTCTTCGGCTTAGCTTCGTTTTTGAGTGATCACCTTTCTTACTTTGGTTGAGCTGTAATAGGCCTCGTTCTTGTGCCGGAATTATATCGTGACAGGATTTGTGTCTTTATGATATGGTTGGAAAATAACCTAATTTCGGAGAAATTGATTGACGCGGTATTCCCCCGTGACATAGATTATGTGCATTCCAGAGCGTCCCGTTAATGACACTGTACAGTAGTGGGAGTATACGTTTACTGGCAACTGTAGTACTGCTAGTTTATTTGAAGTATAGCAGGGGTCGGTTTTAAAAGTGTCCTTTCTACGTTTGTTTTTTTTATTACAAAACCGGTGCATGTGCATATTAACAATTGCCAGTATTGATCCTTGTATATTTGCCCATATCTGCTTGAATTGAATCATATATGTGGTCAACACCAGAGAATTCTTTCATCTTCCAAACAGGGTAAAAGAATTATAGTCTTGAAAAGGACATGGTAGTGGTTACAATAATCAGCGGTGACACCAGGTGTCTGTAGTAGTCTTTAAGTCTTTAGGAGAGCACATGTCATTTCAAATAGAGAGAAAAATGACAAAACCAAACATTGTTTTAATGTGTATTTTTTGTGTTTTATGTTTGGAAGAAAGGGTCTATGATGGAATATTATGTGTGTCATGTACTTAAGTGGCAAAGCATTGATAAAAATGTTATATGAAGCATGTTTTGCCAAAGCAATAGTAATCCGGTAATACACTTGACTTCAGTCTCTGTGTCGACATCTGAAGCAGCCTGTATATGTTGAGGAGATAGCGACATGACAATGCCAACGTTTTACGTTGTGACGAAGAAGTACTGGGCTCGGGCATATTTCACTCCAAGTAAATGTGATTCAAGTCCCTCAAACTCTACTGCTGATCGCTGCCACTTGGAATTGTGTTATAGGTAAGTTTCACCCAGATATGTATTACACAATCTAGAACCAGGCAGAAAGTTGGCACCGGACCTGTGGGCTTATGCATCGTTCCCTTGATATGCTGTTATGGGGCGGCGGGGTAGCCAAATGGTTAAAGCGTTCGCTCGGACTTCGAATAACCTGGTTCGATTCTCCACATGGATACCATATGTGAAGCCCATTTCTGGTGTCCCCCTACGTGATATTGCTAGAATATTGCTAAAAGCGGCGTTAAAATAAACTCACTCACTCACTGATATGCTGTTGAAAAACGATGGTAATGGACTAAGTGAGTGAGTTGCGTCGCTTGTAGCAATATTCCAGCAATATCACGGCGGGGGACACCAGAAATGGGCTTCACATATTGTACCCATGCAGGGAATCGAACCTGGGTCTTCGGCGTGACGAGCGAAAGCTATGACCACTAGGCTACCCCATCGGCCCGGTAATGGACTAAGCCCAGTGCATTTAAAAAAAACCCAGGAAACAGAGCAAGCAAATATCGAGAACAGTGAGAACAAACAACAAGTATGGGTGTTCATATAGAAATTGGTTTTATTCTCTAAAATATTCAATCTATTAAGTTTGATTGTTTGACAAATTTAATGACCATATTCGAAAGATTTTAGATACCGGATTTGATTATGTCGACACACAACCTTTAGGTCCAGAAAGTTCAAAGGAATAGTATTAAGATACATTTTCTAGAATACTTTAACATTAATCTAAGCAGTGTTTCTGATCAATCGCTTACTGCATCTCATTTCACATAAATAACTTGCAACAGATATCAATATTTCGTGACACAGAATCTCAGTATGAGTCTCCATGGCAGGTTATGGTCTATAAAACAATCCCTGGGTTCTTTCGGATTTGATGTTTGATGCTTTAACCGACATTGTGACTCGTACCTGCTCTTATTCATCATGATCGGATAACATCTAATTTCACCTTGTTTGTTGCGTACTGAAACGAACGTGTACAGGTTCTGATATAGGCATCATATCTAGAAACTGAACGTAAACATCAGTTTAAAAACACAATCACTACTAGATAGTTTACTGCTTGTCAGTATAAAATGTCAAAAGCGCAAGTGTTGTCTTTTTAAGTTTAACTTCTATTCTGTATCAATATGAATTCCAACCAATTCATTTAAATGATTCTGAATATCCACAATTAATTGTTTCATTACAGAATACAACAACGAACCTTACTTCGCTTCAAAGAAAAGAATTGTGTTTAGCAGGGATTTGTTTTGTACTGCATCGATGACGTATACAGTCATCAGTTACAATATTAATTACATCAGTAGTAGTAGATACCATATCTGAAGTTTTGTAAATAGGTGAAATTAAAAATAAGCTGCAGGCTGCAATAACCTATGGGATTTCGGAGTATACATGCACACGCATGTCGTAAACTGCAGGTGGATCACAAAGAAAATTCCAACGAGATACCTCGTTTAGACATCATCGTCCTCATATGATACAACCAATGTGCTTAGGCAACATTTTATAACATAATGATGATTGCGTTGCCCTGCTGTTGGTCGCATGACACTCGATGGGGATTTTTCCTTCCGTAATGACGATATGTGCGTTAACGTCCATATCGAAGAATATGACAATGAATCTTACGCAACTGATGTAAAATGGCATGAACATGATTCCTGTATAACAGATGAGTTTCATTTATATACAATGTATATGACCAATATAAACATTTTATATCTCAATGCTGAATACACACAACTTTGACAAATGTATATCAAAACTCATCATCTCGGAAATCTTTCTCATGATGAACAGTATTAGCAGTACAGACTGATGTCATAGAAAATATATGAGAGTCCGTTTGTATGAATATTCAACACTCATAAAACTTCACACAAAAGTGCCTAAATAGGCAAACGTTCTCTTTAAGCACGTCTTGGCATTATGCCAGTGTTTGAAACGGTGACCAACGCATGACTTTCTGGCACCTAACGATTCCTCAGAGCGCTATAATGTAAATAACGCTGACCCTGCATTAAAGCAATGGGTCATTGGAAAACATCCACGAAAAATGTTCCATGTTAGAAATCCCGAAAATGAACAGAGGGTTGTGTTCCATCCCTTAGTCCTTGTGTTTCGATGCAAATTCAGACAAAGACCTGACACTCGGTGTAGTAACTATATTCTTGGATCAATAAAAGCAATTTGTATCACCAGTGTACATGTAAATGCATAGATGTGGTTCCATGGTAATCTCTATAAGGCCCTCCCGACGGTGTCCCACTGCACAAGTACAATCAATGGTTGGGACCCTGGAGTTTTACTTTCTTCTGTCTGGCTCTGTTCATTTATTCCTTGATCCACCACCACGAGTAGTTATTACAACAACTCTAACGTCAGTCATAGAATCAAATGACATTTGTGAAATGAAATAAGTACTGATACCTTTCTTCATCTTTGCTCACGAACACGTTTCTATTTTTAAGAAAATGTAGCAACAAATAGAGGTGCTTTTTTTTCTCTTCTGGTTTAGCTTGAGGTGTATGTAATATCATGTAGAGCAGTATTTGATTATTTGGAGATGGTGCACTGTTACCACTTTATTTCGCTGCCTCAAGATATTGACATGATACGAAATATGTATTCGTAAAATAGCATGTGGTGATCAACAATCTGGCATTTATGTGTAGTCAAAAAATGTTATCTATCTTTGAAGACATTCAGTTTCACTATCAAGAACTAAGACGCCGATATACAGACACTTTTTAACTGTGAATACTTCACAGTATGTTTCCATCATTCACACTTTTCCAATATCATCCACTCTTCGCACCACTGTGAGTAGTGTCCCAAGGATCAAGAGGAGATAACTCAACTTCTTTATCTGCAATCGTTCGTCTCCTTGTCAACATAACATGCACAGTGTACAATCCAGCTGTTTTGTTATTTGCATGACAGTTATCAGTAGTTTGTATGTGTACCCGTGTTGAACCAATAAATGTTAAGGAGGATCCCTCCCTGGCAAAGTGCTCTTTGCCAAAGTGAGTACGAGAAAGCCTCAGGATAAAATCCAGTGGGAATTTAAAATTGAGATGAAGCTGAGGAGAAGGTAGAGATCTCGAGGAAGAAGACCAACGGCGCGACTCTCCAGCCCCATCGATCCGGCTGCAAATAAAATACAGCAGACTTAGTCATGACTTGATGTGAGTATATCAATATCTAGATGCTTAGTTTAGCAACGTTAAGGCCTGTCGGTTCTCCAATGTGATGTTTGCTATAGAAATTTGCTGTCAGTAGCAAAATTGAAAACAACTCTATGAGTAGTGTCTGGGCTGAAATATTTTGGGTCTTAGCAGTTTCAATGTTCGATTGATGTGGGAGGCCGCATTTACTTGTAACCTCCGATATAATAGAATGTCAGTCATAGACGAAATGAGGTGTCAGAGAGCCTACGCTACATTTTCGAGAATAGCCATGTTATTAGTAGATAGAGGAACAGTCAGGCAAAATCCACATTGGCTTTGTTTAGAATTGATGCAATAACATAATAGGCCAGGTGACTTTCAGCAGGGTGGTGTAAATGTTTACTAGGACTGGTATTGGCACTGCTGGTGTCCGCAAAATGTTAATTTTATCATCCGGAGATCTTAATGAACATTAACAGACAACGTTAACATAAAACAATAAACCGAAACTCATTCAGATGGAACGTCCATTACAAAGCTGTAATATTAAAATAGTTACAGATACGTGCATATCGTCTATCTTACCTCTTTTCACGTTATTTGAGCCTGCTGAAATGAGAAATAACAGTAAGAAGTTGAAAATGCAAAATAGTTATAAAGCCATTTTTTTAAAACTTAACCCCTTAAAGTGGACAAATATTACACCTGCTTTAGCATTGTAAAATAGTAATAAGCGTATTTTCGGCATGGAATACTAAGTTTATACTGGCAACATTCACTAAGCAATTCATGACCATTAGACCAGCGTTGCCTTGATGGAAGTGCAACTGAAATGAATGGCCGTCTAACATACTTTGGTTGTTATATCACCAATGATCATACATTGGAAACACAAGTTATTGATGTGTATGTTAAGGATGCATAGACATTCCCAATCACCGCGACAGATCAGCATCAATGAAGTTACGACGTGTCTTATGCCTTCACAATGATGAATTATACCTGACAGTGTGGTGAATATTGCGTTGATGTGTAGCAATTTCGGTTGAAGTCGAAGGCATTTAATCATCGCATTTGTTATACTCAAGTTAGCAGATGTACTGCCTCATGGGCAGTTGACTTTTGAAGAATATTTTCAAAGATAGATCACTGTTATTCAAATCGTTAGCTATATCTGTTTCCATAAGCAGAGATTGCCCTAAGTACCAAGCACTGCCAAGAAAATGTTACAGATGGAAACCTAGGAGGTAATGATCTGATCCCTGTTTCATAAACAGGTCTGCGTAGTCCCACTGTCAAAAGCCAACGCTAAAGTATTGGAGCAATCCTATTGCTTCGACCGGTTTATGAAATGGCACCAGGGTGTATCGCCCTGATATACCGACAGACGCTGTTCTTTAGAGAAAAGATGGTCATAAACTCGTTCATTCCATTGCAGAGCCATCCTCTGCTATCGATAGGTAATTTACTGAGATGGTTTATAATCGCCAAAAATAGGGAACCAGAGCAGCAACAAGCAAGATCCAATAAAGTGTCTGTTCGATGACATTTCTGTTGTTCTTTTATCGATGACCGTGGTACTATTTATTACGTTGCAGTGTGCAAACACAGTATACAAAAGTCACAGTATACAAATAACCATGCTGGTCTGTTACATTTTAGCTTAACATGAGAGCCCCATCTACATGTACAGATTGCGTCTTACGTCAGCGTTTCACATTTCTGCCAAATACAAGTATGTGTATGTTGGCAACCAACTCACAACATGGATAGCTTTAGCTGGCTTCATTTAGAATTATTTAATAAAGTTCTTTACAATGTAGTTTTTCTTTCAAAATATATGAATGTTAAGTGATCGTTGCGTATGTATCAATTTAATCATGCCCATGTAAATATAAAATCATATAAATTGTACTAGGTCTAAATAAGATAGTGTTTTACCTTTCTGAAAATATTCAACTGAGTAGTGTGACGGAAAGAACTTCTGACTTAAAAACAGACATTTGTAAGTTGCTGGATTGTTTTAGTATATTTTGGTTTTGGTGATGCATACTCACCATTCATAACGTGAACTTGGACAGATGTTGTTTTCAGCATTTCAGGCGAACGACACACGTATGTCCCGGAATCTGAAGGTCTGGAATTCCTTATTTCCAGTAAACTGCTCCTCCGTTCACTCGGAGGGCCACCAAAAGTCAACACTGATATTCGAGGTTCATGTGACAGAAACACGTCACCATCCTTTATCCACTCCAAGTTATAAGAAGAACTTCCAACGAAACTTGCGTTACAAAATAAACCAATGTGGTCTCCCTTTTCAACGTACGATGTTCCACTGATATGTATATCTGAAACATAAAAATCTAAATAAACGTTAACCATTAGTCAGTCAGTAACATCTTCAAAAACATACACACAATAGTATATTTACTTTTCTTGTACAGAAAGTTAATGTATCTAGTCTAACGTATCGGATTTCTAACGATCATTTAACAGTCATCGACTTTGATATTTATGATGGATAGGTAAAATAGCTAAAAACAATAGTGATGATAGGAAATCCAACTGGATTTACTTGCCATTAAGGACGTGTCACAGTGTAACCGTGACACTTCAACAATACAACAGACATGTAAAACCGTTTTGCCATGTTTAACATTTATATGGATAGCACGTGTATCATGTCTGCTTTGGTCAACTACACGTTTGTGACTGATTTTTTTTCTTTGCACGGTTGAAGACAAAATCTACTCTTCAAGATGATGATTAAACCTACCTGGATGTCTTTTCACTGGAACATCTGGAAAATATCAACACATAGTTTAATGTGGATCATCGTTTGCAAAATACATGTTATTCTAGCATTCATCATCGTTTATATTAACATCCTTAACAATTATGTAAATGAGCAACATTGTCAAGGTTTCTTCCCAAACTGTTAATATCAAGAGTGAAATGGCCGAATGAAAATGTTTGTCTGCATCATTCATGTCATTACCAGATAATGGATGACCTGTTTCGCTCCTATGGTAGTCGTCCGTCAAAAGCAATAAATAGCAAGTAGTGGTTTGGGAGAGGATGTAAAGAAACACAGGCACAGGCATCCAATATCAAAAGATTTATCACTTTTCATCTCTAACCAAATCGATTGCTGGGTCAACAGAAGATCATACGAGACAAAGCATATGAATGGCTTTGTGTTGATTTGCTGTGCTACTGTGGTACGCTGCTTTCTCTGGTAAAGAAGGCATATTCGTTTGGAAACAATCAGTTTCGAAATCCAACCAGTTTGTATTGGGATGGTTAACTTTCATAAATTAAGGATTTTTTCGAATGTTCCGTTCTGCTTCGAAGACTTGACACGATTAATATCGAAATTGTGCATACATAGAGAATCAAGTGACGAAAGATCCGTAATCAGACAAGAATTTGGGATGAGCAGATTTTGGTAAGGCTGAGGGATGCTATCTAGGTACCTCTACCCCTACCACCCTTACCCCCACCCTCCGACACCAACGTCGTATCGTCCCGTGTATCAATCGTTCAGTGTGGAATATTCAACAAATTAACACTAAATATTATTATAAATATTATCAAATTCACAAATGCATCCTTTTCCCTGCATCACCATATTTGTGTTTCTTTAGCATGAAATATGACTGTTTTATTTTGTTAAATTCTTGAAATGAATCGAACACATATATTTGCTTTTCCAAATTCGTGTCCATTATATCTGTGATTGAAGAGGTCTTTTTTGCGATACTTATCTTTTAGTCTCTTTGAAGCAATGATTATCCATAAGGTGGTGATCAATCATCCTTACTTTTGACAAAGAAATTAACGTACAAATGCGCTCTTTTTACAATGCACACTGGAGTATAACATTCCTTATTATGTTTACTGGTATGAGAAACGGCGGAAGCGAGCAATATTACAGATATATTACAGTGGTGATGAACAGTCAAGTTTCAGGGACTGTGCATGAACGTTTGATTTAGGGGTCCTACATGAACGTTCGGTTCAGGAACAGTACAAGAACGTTTAATTTATTGACTGTTAATAAATGTTTGATTCAGGGACTCTTCCTCCATGTTTCATTCACTATTGTACAGGAAAGTTTGATTCAAATAACAGTACAAGAACGTTCGATTCAGGAACAGTACAAGAACGTTTAATTTATTGACTGTTAATAAATGTTTGATTCAGGGACTCTTCCTCCATGTTTCATTCACTACAGTTCAGGAAAGTTTGATTGAAATGACAGTACAAAAACGTTTGATTCAGGGGCTGTTCCTTAGTACTAACTTCTTAAATCTAACAAACTTACAAAATTATATCATCTTATGCCTTCTACCATGAAATAGCCATGGGTCATTTCTCCGAAACAATTTCTACATAATTTACCATAAACAGCATTCACGTTTGCGTGGTATTGTATTTAGTTTTGGTTTCAGTACATCTACTTGTGTAACATTAACCACAATGTCAAAGTGAATTAATTCAGGCATGGTGTTGACGCTTACAGAATGGTAGTAGGTTTGTAGGCCATGTATTTCATTCGTTTCTGAATAACTCTATGACTGTCTTTCCGCATGCACAACTGATCTAAAAAGCGTTCAACTTACCTTTTACTTTAAGATATATATGTTGTCTAAGTTTTTTCTTCCTCATGCTTATTTGGCACTCGTATTTCCCCGTGTCATCTGGGGTGACGTTTTCTATCATTAGGTTCCACTGGTTACTCATCGGTACATGGTCAACATGAAACCTCATATCTTCTGTCCAAGTTCGTGTTCCAATTGTAACAGGATGAGGATTTGGTACCTTCCTCCACACAATCTGAAAAATACAGGGCAACTGTTGATCAACTTAATAAGGTTTAAATCGTTTGATTTATATCAATACTTAAAGTATAATTTCTCCAGGATGGTTTTCTGCATCAGTTCGGTCTTTATTTATTACCCTTTTCCAGAAAAGAATTTTGTCCTTTTTCGTCTAAGGCAATATGGTAACCATTTAAATGAAAAATTGTCACACCAATGATTTTTAATACAAACCGTTCTGAACCTGTTTATCTAAAGATGTCAGCGGTCCTTGCGAACGCAGATACAAATACCAATAAGGCCCCACTCAAAGAAGCCAGTATTAAAGTTATCCATCAGAAATGTTTACACATGGATGAAAGGGAAGAAACAGCTCCTGCGATATTGGGGTCAGGAACATTTGACATAAAGTGGAGATTGAGTGGGCAGGGTTACTTATGTCCATCAAAGTAATGTCTCAAACGGCCTTCATGTAGCAGAGGTCAACTTTGTGCATGATTTATTATCTTTATCATACACGGAATTAATCATCACAGACTGTAATCAACAAAATCGTCTTTTGATCACGAATAAATGAACTACATGCGTCTCTTCAAGTGTAAAACATCAAGTATCATATCTGTTATAACGAGTTAACTGTATCGTACCCATCGTGAAAATGGGCAGTGCATAAAGCAAGCAGTTACAATATTGACAGGCCTCCTCACGAAGAAACCTGTGTACGGAATGGTTTCTTGTTGTCAATGACGAGTGCAAGTGCTGAGTGAAAGTGTCCTCATAATGTCCTTCCTAAAGCTAAATGTAATTTGTTTTGTACTTTCACTCTTTTGTTATCAACTGTCTCGCCAGGAAACTTTTTTCTGAGTACATGTAAATCTAATTTAAATCAATTGCTTCCAAGTCCCTAGAAACATTGTAACAACACGGATTTATTTGTACTGAATAAACCAGTCGTTCCTAAAACCTACAATGCAGATTTAACAAAACCCATGAGACAGGACTGTTAAAAGTTGATGATGAAAAAACAGTCCCTCTGAACTCTTGTGTAACCTTTACCGAATTGGGTTTTCCAGCACCCATGGTTGTTATAAGCATCAAAAGCTTACTAAGTACATCTACTAACGACACACAATGGACCGTCGCTACCTCAACTAATGTAATCTTTTAACTTGATTTTAGAAATTTCCCTCAAGGAACCTTTTTCTATAAATTGTAAATGAAAACTATACATTTCCCTTGGAACATATATTTGTTTAAAATGCCACTCAAATGAATAATAGATACTTCTCAAATAAATGAGTCTGGACATCCATTCAAACTCCCAATGATGTTGAGTCTTCTTTTGAAGTCAAATTGTAATGCAGACAAGTTGCAGGTGGCGGTCATTATGAATATATAAACGTCATGTGGAAACAAATGTCCTCTTGGGGAATTACTTCTAGACGAAACAGACTCGCTACTTGTTACAATTGAGAGCAGTCGCTAGTAAACGAAACTACCAGAATAGCCTTAATGATGGAAATTGCAAGAAATTATTTACATCTCTTGGGTATTAGATTTGGTCAGTGGAAAGAAAATAAGGCTAATACATTTTCGAGCAAGACTACTCCGCGTTTGCTCATCGCATATATCACATCTGTTAACTGCCAAGTTAAATATGAGCTTAATGTTGTTTCTATTTTAAGCGATACAATGTTTGGTATGTTGAAGAAAGGTGTGTCATGTGTCGGATCACTTTGCCTTTCAGTTCTTGGATTTTGAAAAAAAAAATCAAGAGAAGAGTTTGTAGGATAACATCGAACCGACGCAAATTACAAATAACATAAATCCCTGTAGGATTTGAAGGGGTCTCTTATAAAAAGAAAGCTTTGATGAGCATTGTTAAAGGAAATACGTTGTTTAGATTCTCCTTACATTGACATGTTAACTTCAATTGTACATGGACAACCGTGAGAGAAGGTTCTCTCAGCTACGTCAATTCCTTTTCATGTAAATATATAAATTAGACATACATGAAAGGCTGACAGTCTTATATACAGTATATCATATGCCAGCAACATATACCTTCCATTAAGCACCAGCCTTTGATATTTACTAAAAATACATGGTTGCCATGTTTTGATAGTCATATTTATTTATGGAACCATTGCCGGAAACCCACATGCTATCAATATCTCGTTTGAGTCTCCGAAAAAGAGTTGGGTGTGAAACGTACACAAGGAAACTATATCAGTGTTTGTAGGAATCCACTATTGCCTTGTATTTCTATGTTCACATCTTGTAGCAACTGTCTTTCAGTTTTATTTACACGCGTTACTTTTACGATTTAATGGCCAATAAATAAATAATCATTGCGTACTAATGTGTGTTTGCAGTAATTAAACCTTTCGTCTCTCGACAGGAACCTTTACAAAAAAGTTGAATAACAATTTGATACTTAACCACACGCATTTATAACCATCCCTACTGTTATTTACAATAAAAACATTAAAGCATCTGAAGAAGCTAACACAGTTGAAAAATATGTAGTAGTTGTCAGTCGTGGCTGTCATATGGGAATGTTCTGATGTTCTGGTGACATATGTCAACATTGCAGAGAGAAGAAATAACATGGATCCAGGAAAATACTGTTCTACTAATTGGTGCTGTATCATTACATGCACTTTCTGTGAGGTTACAATGTATAGTCTCGTGTATGTAGACATATGGTCTTCATCTTATGATGTTGCGATGACTATTGATGACTATAGAATATATCGATTTCTGTTAAGTCTAAGTTTACCCAGCAAACCACACATACATGCGTACAATAGTAGAGGTAATCGACATCACGCTCTGTTATGTTCTGAATGAAAATGGTTGGTACCTGGTACGTCAAACAACAAGGCATTGTCAATGAGTTCTTTCTAAACGTAACACTTGCATGCATAACCATTAACATACACGCACACACGCACGCACGCGCACACACGTACATGCATCATTCACCTGTGTATCAATCAAGGTTTAATGCATAGTATGTAAAGATATTCAAATATTGTTACCCAGGTTTTATAAGATCAAGATATACGACTGATATATTAAGAATTTATTTATAGAAATTAAACCATTAAGATTCTATTTTTAATGTTCGTGCCACGCTCCTTTTCACACAGCTGTCCTGATTAGCACAGATTTAAGACAGCACTACAATCGTTTGACAGGAGTCGGAACATAAAGAGAATATAACAGCGACGACAGTGTCAATAGTAATTGGTGAAGCCCAAATGCAACTTGGGCAGAGATAATTGTCTCCCGCAGTGATTTTTCCCGTTCTAATGGCCACACGTCGGAAATTGTCATTATGACTTGCCACAACCGCACTGGGGTTTATTCTGACAGTATTTGCCAGATTGCAACATGTTCTTGTCACGATATCCTATCCAGACAACTAAAGCCTTAAGCAAATTGCATCTTTCCGGTACTTTGCCATTTCAAGTCTTTTCTATTGAAATTGACATAATGAATTTTATTGTAATCCTGAAAATCATGCCAGTGAATGTGCTTCCGGCGTCCCTTTACGTCAATCATCGCCAATAACTGGGTAGCTAGAAAGGGATATTTGGAATGAAATAAACCCGTTAGACACATTATGTTTGTGGTTCTTATTTGCAAGTTGGCACATGTCTTGTTCCTTCCTAATATTGAGTTAAAATGGACCGATAGTTTTGTGCATGGGGCTATAAATCGGATTTCCGAATATTGCAGGAAGATAACGGGATTAGCAAAGACAAGGCGAAATGCACTGTTTCCACTTCAGAACATCATTGATTTGATTAAAACAAGATAACTTCCTCTCAGCTGACAGCAGTCTTAATCCTACTATAGAGCACCAGATTGTCCGTTTCATTCTAGAGTTGACACGTAATTTAGGGCTTTCTCACTTGCATTCAATATGTTGATAACTTGTGAAGAAATTTGTTGAAATCATTGCCAATGCGGATAAATCACGAAGAAAATGAAATAAAACGTTCGCATTTTAAATGCTAAGTTTACAGTACTGCGACTGGGCATCGGTTCAGGCCGAATCGTTGAGGAATAACTTTGGCACAGGAGAAGATGGTTATTCATAGCGGCGGCACTCAAAGCCTGCCGTGATATCCGCCGGTTCTTGCGGCACGCTTCTGTACGTATTGCCACTTTAAACTGAGTCGACTTAAGATGAAATTACAACGTTTCCTAGAATATTCAGCAATTTCATGTTTAAGTGTGAGCATATCCTCGTATGATATTGTCAGAACCAGTTCTTATAGGACAGAACTCTTACACGAGCTTTAGATAAAGTCGATTAAGGCTGGTTGTAAATCAAGAATATTGTTTTTTCTGATGCACTGCTATTGAAAGATATATTGAGAGAACCCTTTATATTTTTTTAGTTCTGTTAACATTAAACAAGACAACTCTTTAAGGCAAACAAGAAATGACATCCATCTTCAAAAGCATCGAAATTGCATGTGTCACATTTACGGTCTAAACCTTCATGGCACGTGTATGTGTAGCCTTCTCATTATGTAACGGGATGACTACCTCAACGAAATATAGTCAAGGTGCTGTCAATTGTATCTCGTGCTTGTGGCTTAAATGAAAGGCCATACACAATGATCTAAGAAAACTTGAGTTATTAACGACGTATTGTCCATGTTATGGACATGCACGATAACATGTACTGGTATACAATATGCTCTTTCTCTAGTGCCCCTCAGACGTAAACCATATCTACACACATGCACACGTCTTTGAATCAGTAGCAGTGCATTCGTCAGAAATACTGCTGTAACTGGGAACAAGCACTAGCACATTTTTATATAACTCCACGGAAGACACTATTTAATGAAGAACATTATATATGATGGCCAGGCGACATCAAACGATTGTTTACATTTTATAAGGGATAACATCGCAGGCATGAAAATAATCACATCTAGTGTGATCCATTTCTTCAAATGAACTTATTAATTTCTTAATTATTAGTAGTATTCAACTTCTTGTGTTATGCCCAACATTATCATTCAAACGGAACTATCAAACTGGAATGAAACTTCAAGATACGAAGTACCTTTTACGCCAAATAGAAAGTCAAGTGTTACAAGGACCTCACAAACCGTCTGGGAAGAGTTAACCTAATTGATTACACGTTGCTTTTAATCATATAATCATTTGTGACTATATAATTTTTTCATAAATGTTGTACCTGGATAGTCCTGTTGAGATCTACTTTGGTTACTTATTTTGCGAGAGTTTAAAGCTAATATATAATTTAACACACAAAGGTGGGTTCAAATGGTAGATCGATTTATCAGTAATTTGTGTTCAATGTAGAAAGCAAATATTCCTTATATACAGATATTTATCTGCGTGTTGACCCCATTTTCGTGTGAAGTCTGCCTTGTAATCAGTCACATGGTTGATGCAGCTGATTGTTAATGATCTGGACACATCTCTAGTGCTGAAGGATTGTCATTACCGTCATGAGTCATCATTATGATGTGCTGTATGATCCCTGGCCAAATATTTGAAAAAGAAATTGAACATACTGACCGTTGAATGTTACTACGATATGTGATATTAGTAACATAAATACCAAGTTACATATAATCACACTAAATGGATAACTATATTAATCCCGTTGCCAGGAAAAGTGATTATTCTGTTTGATTGTTCGTGTTGTTACAGTGTTATTTGGGCGCAGCCTTAGGTTAAGGAAATGCATTGCGCATGGATTTGAACATGAACTGAACAGTATGGCATCAAGCGTTAGGTCCATGTAAGGAATGGGATTTACTCATGGAAGCCAGTACCTACAGTTACCTGTACCAGTACAAGGTACACGGAATTTGCATTGGCAAACAGACGTTATAACATACGTTGTTGTTTTTTTTGACGAACTATTGAAATATGTACTTTGTTTTAAGTTTATTTAAAAGGTTACAGAAGACGTTGGCCAATGATGTCATCTACAACACATTTGGTACATACAAAACAACAGCAAATACTTTGATAACCATTTTAACGAAATTGTATTATTTATCGGCTATAGTTTGTGGACCTTTGACTCAATGCACTTTGTAAAAAGAATTCATAATTGCTAGCAGCGCAAGTACATAAGACGTAAGTATATGCTTACGATTTACTTAATAAGGAATGAAGTGTGGTCAGTTAACTGAGCATAATAGGTTGAGAGGGAGTAGAGTAATCAACCAATCAAACCATAGGCAAGTTCGAAATGATTAAATTCTTTGAATGGTATTTAGAAATGATACATATAAAAGGTAAAATCGATGGATGTCAACTTCTCCATCATGGAGAACATACGATCTGATTAGATGTACGGACAGATCAGATGTATCTCAAGAACATTATGAGAAGACACAAAACATAGTCCGCTGCTGACAGTTATGGTATCAGTCTATGGAGGGTGATACTCAGCACACAGGCATACACACATTTTATCTCTTTATCAAAATTACATAATTTCTGAATTATTTCGGTGCAATACTTCATGTAATGGTTATATTGGTGCATATTAGTATGTAGGTCAGCCTGCGCATAACGGGCCTCATAATTGGGTCTTATCTTGAATTATTAAGCATCCGCCGGTAACATTTGACAGTTGGGTATCATTTCCTGGCACAGCTTTCTTTCATGTTTGTAAATATACACCCATAAATCAGCCTTTGAATGAGGGAAGCTATGTATTTTGCCAAGAATGCCGTGGGGGTTTGTAAGTTATTGGAACTAGGACTGGGTTATAACAGTATGAAGATTCAATATTGATCAACAGTAGTGTATGAATTATGTTTTTCAACTATTCAAGATGCGTGTACATATAGTAAGCAAACTGTTTCCTTCTTATTCTTGGCAAGTGTATTTTGGCCATCTAATCAGTGTGCCGGGGACTCCACATCATTATCAGTAGTAGAGCACCAGTATCCAGCGCATTATAATGGTGGACAATGATTTTTTATATGCGTTTATATATACATGCACATACAATTATAGATTTTTAATTTCAGAATAAAGTTACTAATGAATACACTGCGATTATGCAAGAAAATGCATGCATTTCTATGTCTTGACTTACTCTAAACGTGATCCTTTCGAAACCATTATGTCCGAGAACATAATTCATCACATAGATAGTTTCATCATGTTTAGACGATGCCTATTACGGGGTATACTCATACTTCTAAATGAATGTGATGCAACGTCAGCTAAACACAAGAAGCACATACCGTTCGTTCTCCAAGATTGCTTACAGAGCAAAATAATCTGGCTGTTTCTCCTTTACTATACGTTAGACTCTCTGGAACATCATTAAATTCAGGCTCGATGACTCGGATTTCAGGATCCGTCCTCCCAACTGAAAAGATAAAACACAATTCGTTGACACAGTGACTTATGATACATAACGCAAGTATGTGATTCAATGTTTCGTTATCCCTAGGAGTAAAGTATTCACTATATTGCAGTAAGTTTAGTCTGGCATTGCAGCAGTAACACAAGATTGACTTTATCCTCTGATATCTAATAACAGGATGACTGTCTAGACGGAGCCTTGGTGAAAATTCAAGTTGTGGACACTCTTTCTTTATTGGTGTACATAAGCTCTGGTTGGCTCTGTCAAAAGCCACAAAGTCAAGTCAATTCCAGCCTCACGAAACATTTAAGATTTGTCGCAGCTCTGTTCATTCAGTGTCTGGGACTGACCATTCGTGATGGCCTTTATTTACTTCGGACACGAGAAAGTCGCCCTACTCGAAAGCAGTAACCTAATATTTGATTGCCGGGTACATGCACGCCACAACCAAGAGTCGTCTAAACTATATATCGCTTATACGGTGTCAAGATCATTGATTGAAGTCGGTACCTTTAAATTATTCTTTTAATCTGAATCATTGAAATTGTCTCGCGTGCTCTCCAGCAGCTTTCCCATTTTGGACTAAAATGTTAGTATTGACCGGGACGTGCAGAGCGAAAGGACCACTTATGAAACATATTGATTTGTGAAATTTCTTTTGCAATATCCTTACAGTTATTGTTGCAATATATTGAATAAATGTGGAGAACACTATGTTTATTGCAATTGCTGTGCCCTAAGTGGTTAATAGGAAAACGTGTGAAATATATGATGCGCTGTGTCATAGATCGATAAGGAGATCATCTAAACACAAAACACCCACTCATAGTATTGACAACAAACACGATTCATCATGAATCTTTAAACCTGTAAACAATTAACCTCGTGTGTTGCAGGGCATATTTGCCTTCATTATATCTATCTACCATTCATTTAATTTACACAGCCGAGAGCATAAATGTCCATATTGAGCTGGTATTATTAAGGACACACTAGGTAGGAAGCCTTGTTAAATATAAAAGAAAGTAAAAAGTAACGGCGATGGTAACCGATATGTAATATTGAATATGCGGAAACGACAGAAATAGAATGTTACATGGGAACACATGATTAATTTTTGTGACAATGTGTACTGTATAAATGCTGTTTTAAAATGTCCAATATACCGCGATGTGTTATGTTATTCTGTCAGATGCCAGTTTCATGTAAATGATATCAATATCACGTTATGCTTAGACACAGGAAGGATCCAATTATTGCACAAAATAATATTTTCATTCGTTAACTGGTACGTCCATATGCAGGAAGCAGCATGTATCACAAAACCTGGAAATAACCGTTAATGCTCTCTTTCGTCTTGGAAATGTCTAGAAATATCATGGAACTAATTAACTACTTATTCTAGTTCGAACTCTCCAACTGAGACTTGAGATGAATAATTATAGGATACACAGTCATGTACATAGCTTCAACATAACAAAAGTTAACAAGTTAGTTAATTTGACCAAGCGTGAAGTCATTCATGTAATGTTAGTTCTCTCCCTTGTATTTAAGTCGCGCAACATCATACCCAGGGAACTATACGTTATTACGCCTTCGCCCTTATTCTCAGCAGTAGCCATTATGGAGATGATGGCCATCAAAGAAAACTAGCCTCTCCGGACAAGTCAAGGACATAGAGGATATCAAATACATAGTGAAAGTGTTATAACAAGCCGCGTCAGTATAACATAGTTAAGGGTGATGACCGTGCAGCCACGGGGGTCCGTCTGGAGTGGGCAAGCCGGTACTTTCCTCATATTACTTTGATAAAAGGTATGTTACGACCTGTGTTTAAAAAAACTGTATGTGCCATCGTAAAATAATTCGATTCCACCATCACCAGACCACCGCGTATGCATGTTTGTGCTTGTGTTCACTGGTACTGTGCTGAAGGTTGTTGATATGAACACTATTCAAATAAGTCTTCGATGGGCAGGTCGGAGTTCGAAGGACACGAAGTCATGAAACTTCACAGATACCCTACCCAGTTTTGTTGGGCAAAACCATTTTTATTCAAAATGTGAGATCGAACTACGTCGATCAGGAGTTCGAACAAAGGCATATCATGCAAATACGAAAGTATTCAGCGAGTATTTTCACTAATAACACGTGTTGTACTTGCATTTGAACAACTCCATTACTTCATTCGAATAGGTTAACGGTAACTGTAACATATGTATGTCTGGCCAACAGAGGCTCACTAAGCACAGTATTATTAAAATTACTAGTTGTAGGCTAGCAGTACATACTAAGGGGAGATCACTCTCATCTGACTTCCTGTTCAAAGTCATGTGCTCATAGCACCGGCCACTGTAAGCATCAAAGTTCCTAATAACTCTTTCTAACACGAAGCTCAACCTTGTAACCTCTCTTCAGCAACCTATGGGATGTATTTAGAAGACTGACTGAGTTTGGTTTTACGCCGCTTTTAGCAATATTCCAGCAACATCACGGCGGGGGACACCAGAAATGGTATTTAGAAGAGATAACGTATCGGATACGTGTTATCATAACTCGACGTTGGTGATAATATTAACCAATAGCTTTTGAGCACTAAACTGCATACACGTATTAACTGTAACTGAATAGAGTTATAGCCGCCATATAGCTGGAATATTGCCGAGTGCGGCGTAAAACTAAACGCACTCAGAATAGAGCTATATTATTTTCATCATATATTTCCTTTGAAAGGAGATTTGCCCCACTTCCCCAAGGCATCGTGATGTTTACATAATGGTTTTACTGTCATGTAAGGACCTTTGTGGACCGGATCCCAAGACCAGGTTGTGCACACCTTCAGAAAGACAAAACGTAAATGGATTTATGTTAAAGGGTAAAGATGTATAAATATCAGAATCTGTAACATTATTTTTTCCCTTTTCACATCAGAATACTCCGAAACGTCGTATACGTCGTATTGCAAATTTGAATTTGTATTTGTCTTAAAAGATACCTATTTATTCGCAACAGTTACTTAATGCCCGTGCGTATGACCTTTGAATTTGATGAACTAATGTAATAAACATTTTCCATATATGACCTAAAATAATGCATGTAGCAATGATGAATAAGCAAAGCAAAAATGTCTTTCATACAAAAATAATGTTTTCAAACCAATCAAATTCTCTTAAAATTATCTAAATGTACATAAACAGAAACTTGTCTCAATAAATAGTCGTTATGCTGCAGATGGGACTATGGTCACCAACACCGCAGTCGACATTTATGTCCTTAAGTGGGAATTACCCTAACAGATACAAGACTCAGATTTGAGCGCAGAATGTCCCAAGAGAACAGTAGCGAGTAACGACATCTTGGAAGGGTTGTCCAACAGACCGTTGTTAATAAATGGACCACTGGGAAGCTGGGCGGGTTGGGCTTTATGGCAAAACTTCCGTACAAAGACTAATAGCAATAGAGACAGGACAAAGCTCCTTGTGTTATTGTCTTACAATATGCCGCTCTCCTGTGAATAGATATAATCCTGCACTTCACCATACATGTTATGCCAACGTACGCATGAATAAGGGATAAATCGGCATGAACATGTTAGTGAGCGTCAGAAGACTACTAAACTGATGTCCACCTCTGTGTCCAGATTGGAAGAGATTTAACATGACTTAAAAGACAATATGTTAATACCAAAGCATAATACACAATTTGTTATCTGTCAAGTGTCCAAACCACGTCACATGTTAAAACATTAAGAGTGACTTGTATGCAACAACGGTCACAGTTCAGTGGTTCGAGGACGAAATAATCCCTTACTACTTCCAACGTTACCAGGAAAGCTTCCTTTCAACCGTTTCACTTGCTCAGTACATCAACAAACTGCCAGACAGATGGGCATTTAACTTGCAGCAGTTCAGTATTCATGTTTCCATATGTCAAGGATATGTATTTACAAGTACTTAAGCTTGACAGTTTTATTTGTTGACTTATCATTTCTTTCACAGAACAGTATTTTCTAGGTAAATGGGTTGTTTGACGTTTTGATGACCCGAATTTAATGTCTCCAGTCCGTATGCAAAACAATGTAGCCCTCCTTACATGTCATAAAATATATCGCAACAATCTAATTCTACGCTGTATTTAGTGAAGGATGCTTTTCAATTTAAATTGATGATTTCTGTGGCAAACATAAAGCTATGTACACCCCTTTCAGTGATGATAGTCTCGTTCACATGAATTAATGAGTTGATTTCTGTGGCAAACATAAGGCTATGTACACCCCTTTCTGTGATGATAGTCTCGTTCACATGAATTAATGAGTAGTCCTAACCGCATTGTCCTGGAGTACAGTGTAACTAATGTTTTTTGCACGTTGCCACTCAAGCACTAAATAAACAGGCACTGCTGGAAATAACTGCTCACAGCCGACAGATGAAACGCACCATCTGTGCAATGCTTGGCGACCTTTTTGGTTAGTGTGACCTAGCGTTACGATACCCCAAGATACGAATGTTCAAACGTCAAAGAAAGCCGAGTGAAAGCTGCTTTTGATCACTAACTCCTTTTTTTCACTTTTATGTTTCTTCAAATGAATAAAACAGATATAACAGCCATGTCATATGAGAACTTCAAGGTTTGAGTCTATATGTAACTATTTGTTACTTAAGACAAAGCGATGTTTAACGTGGGCGAACTAAAGATACGTACAATGTGGTTCGTTTTTCATGCTTTGTTACAGAGGAAGAAAGGTTTCCAGTATAACGTCTTTCTTCGATTCTTCATGATTAAAAACATACTGAGACAAAGCAATACCCAGTGTAATGGCATGCCATTCTGTTTTCCATGAATGGTCCACATATCTTTTCATGACGTTGCCAGGGGTCAGTTTTAATAAATGTAAAACTATAAGTTATCGTTCGAAACAGCTTCATTGGCTCGTAAACAATGGCGTTCAATATAGCTGTCATTTCCTGACATCCTCGATTTGTTTGCCCTGTCACCCGTGAAGG